AAAGTGCCAATAGCCAAAAATAGAAGTCCTAAGTTCATGACTTAGGATACCTAATAATAAAAATGTGTTCAACCACTCAAACTAAACTAGTATTTAGAGGTAATGTGTAAAATAAGTTATAAAACACGGGGAGGGAGGAAGTACTGGCTTACTTTCAGATTTTCCAATCAAGTATAAGGAGAAAAAACTTCCACATTTAAAAAATATTTAATATAGAGTGAAAATTAATAATACTCAATTCAGAAAACCTTGAGGTTACATCCTATTCTACTATTTAGTAGCTAAGTAATTCTTGGGGATGTTCCTTAAATCTCTGAAGCTCAGTTTTCTCCTTTATAAAATGAGAATAATACTCATTGTAAGAATTCATGAAATAACACACGTCGAGCACAGGCACTCAAGAGATGTATGACCCTCTTGTGCCCATCTCCCCTTCCAGGGTCTGGGAAGATTACGCTGTATCCACTCTATAATCACACCACTCTCATTCATTTCTTCAGTACATATCATTAGATTAGAGTGAAGCCTAGCATGGCCTAACATCTCAATACATGTGTTGACCAAATGAAGGGATTAATGAGAAAATGAGAATCAGGCTAGGGAAACAAAAATATTAAAAAGTTTATACCCAGCCCTTAAATAACTCAAAAAGAGAAATGTACAAGGAGGGTGTTGGGATAGTCACCAAGATACTGAAATGCCATACAAAGAAGAGAGAAACAGATAAGATATAGTCCCTGCCCCATGTCTAGGATCAAAAGACAGACATAGACTTACGTCTGCCATTCAGTCTTGGAAGTGTTACTATAGAGATACTGAAGTCAGTGCTATGGAAGCTCAGAGAAAGGAAAAAATAACTGCTTGAAAGGCTCAGGCAAGACTTCACAGAGGAAATAAAATTTGAGTGGGGAGAGAGGAAAAGGACACTTTTGGCAGAGGAATAAAAAAGGATTTGATCTATGGAATTTGTCAAGGCATTCTGGGAAACTCTAAATCCCATTGAACTTTTCTAAATACTGTAAATACTACACAAATTCTTAAAGAAAAATTTGTACAAAAAAATGTATTGAGTGAATCATTCCACTGGCTGCAATAAAAGTACCAATAACCAGATTTTTTCTAATTTGTCTTATAAAAATATAATTCCTAAATGAAATCCTACTCTACAGTCTATGTCTAATATAGTTGCATGTCATTTTTACATATTTTTGCCTTTGGTCAGTTTTGACAAAACAGTAAAAACAACAGGCCATTTCTATTCTTCTCTTGAGACTAATAGCCAATTCCATTTTATAATATGTTATATTTAAAGCATTCAGAAGTCAAAATGTGTGGCATTTTCCACCTTGCCAATTCCACATTAAGTCAACGGCATATTACCAACTCAAGAAACCCAAAATTAGACAAAGGCGATCCATTGGGATCAGAAATTTGCCAAATCTCATAATTCAAAAAGAAACTGTTAAAGATGGTTTTGGGGTTTTTGGCACTGTGAGTTTAAACCATTCCATTATAGGGTTTGTATTTCATCTAATCAGCAAGTCGGAAACTGTAAAAGTTTTGCTGGTAGAGGGAGAGGTTAAAATTTGGATTGTAATATGTGAGTTTCTCCTTCCCTTCCATATGTTTCAGTAAACTAAAACTTCTAAATCTTGTTTTTAAAACAAGCTGCCTAAAAAAGTAAGTAGTCTGAAAATCATATTTTTGATACAGGAAACTTAAAATACTCAGGCTTTGAAAAGAAGAAAAAAAAGGGACACGGTTTCTATATCCAAAGTAGTGTCACGGTCTAAGTATATTCAGAATTAAGTACATTTAAGCTTTCAATTTTTTTCTTTTCTACGTGACTTTTTTTTTTGGTAAAATCAAGCATCTGAAACTTCTACAGATATTTTTTGAAGGTGGTCATTTATCAATCTAATTAAAAATGTTTCCATATGAATTCCATAAGAACATTTCAAAGATAATAGTTGGGGCGAGAGGTATATATGAATTCTACTCTTATGTGGGGCTGTGTGAATTATCATCCTATCAGAACAGGAAATGGAAAAGATTTTCATAAGGTAAAACAATTTTTTTCCAACTGATTAAACTCGACACATTATGATCCTATAAATGGCAGAAAGAACAACTTGAACCCTTCAATTCTGAGTAACATTCTCCTTTCCCTTTCTCTATCTGTCGAGCCCCCATCTTGATTTCTTTCATAATTTCTTCTGTCACATTCTTCACTTTCTCATCTTTTTGTTTGTGTATGGAAACATTTCCTCACCTTTATTCTCCTATCCTTCATAAGAAAATTGTTTTGCTACCATATTTTTAATTTCTAAAAGCTCTTTCTCATTTTTTCATTATGTTTTGATGGCGACCTGCTTCATGAAATGCTATGTTAGCATCTCTTTCCAAGGATTTTTTCTTTAATTTTCTTCTTTAATTTCCTTAATTTCTTCTTCAATTTCTTTCTTTAATTTTCTTCTGCTTTCTTTAATTTTCTTCCAGTTTCCTTCTCTTAGTAATTTGTTTCAGTTCCAATCTTTTACATTTGAAGCTTTCCTAATATGACTGATGAACCTGGATGCCCACTGATATTTAAGAGTGAGTGAATAAAAGCTGAATGAAGTCCTTTGGGCAAAGTAGGCTTTCTAAACTGGATAGCTTCACTTTTGTGTGCTGGTATGGGAGCTTGTCATTCATAAGGAACCCCCAAGTATAGGTATATGGAAGTCCTTTCTCTACAGTGATTCAATTTCTCTAGCTAAGAATTCAACAATTTCTTGGGAGGTGGGGCGTGTGTATGTGTGTGCGCGTGCATGTATCTATGTGTATGTGGTGCTGGAGGAGGATAAATTCTGTGTTGCTGGTATTCTGCTTGTGGTAGGCAGGGGTATTGAGAACCTGAGTACTCCACTGTAGGACATTCAAAATCAATCCTCTTTTCAGTCCTGTCTGCATTCCACCTTCAATCGTGCAAGCTGTACCCATGTCCCAGACCTCTTACTCAAGCGCTCCCCCACTATGAGCTTCGAGTGCCTAGCTGCTGGCATTGTATGCATGGGGGAGACACCTAACTGCTCCGTAAGTAGGTTACAACTGATAACCCCATTTTATGCTCTTTCACTCCTGCTCTTCTATGTCAGCTGCCTCCAGGTCTTAAGTCTCTTCAGGTTTCTTTTTGAGTATGCCACCTTTCTTTTCATTGCTATCCCTCCAAAGCTCCTTGAGAGGATGGTTTTCTCTGCTCTGGCAAATCAGTTACAATACATCCAATCCACTTTCTGACTTCCATAAAGCACTTTAAATATCATCTCCTCTCCCATTCTGACTGTTTCTGTGAGATCACTCCTTATTATTTTATTCAGTAAAAGTTTATTCTGATTTACCCACATGATCACCATTTCTTTGTTCACCATTCTTCTCGCAACTCAGTAACTTCTTCTAGATTTAACCGTGTCCTTTTGAAGGACATCTTCAGTACTTTCTTCAGTAAAAGTTTTTAGTGGACTGATTTTTATTTAATTTCTTACCCTAGGAATTCCCTGACTATGCTAGCAAAATAAATTCAAAACCCAAAGCCTGGTAAGGGGAGGATGGCAGTGACAAATTCCCAACACAGACTTCATTCATCCTACGTTCAGATCCCATCCTGAGACAGGCAACCTTCAAGCTGCTTTCACGTATGAGTATACAAACTTATTCTATATTAACCTTTCAATGAGGGTCTGAATTTCCCTGCTTTATTTAGGCATCTAATTCCTAGCCTTCCATTATTCCAAAGCTTTGTCTCTTATCACAGCAAGAATAAAAACAAACAAAAAACCCCTTCCCACTGGTTGCCACAAGAGGTAAAGGATCCCGAATCAGCGGCAGAGTCAGCCTACTGTTTACTGTCCTGGCGTTCAGTTACCATTTCATTCCTAGCCCCTGGGAAATTCTCTTACTACTTTTTGAGCTCAGGTAGGCATTAAGAGCATACCTGTTATATTTTATTAAGCATAGCCAGATGTTTTTTAGTGGGATGTTTTCTGGTTACCTAGTTTGCTTATATAATTTTTTAATAGCATTTTAGTCTTATCTTAGAATGGGTACATAATAATTTTAATTGTTTAGTCTACCATCTTCTGTGGAAAATAAAATGTTCTTACTTTTAAATAATTATAAGATATCTTTTTATGAATTCACTTAGTAATTATTTTCCTGACCATTTGCTCTACGTTTTTCTAGTATTCGTTTATTTTTATTAATATTGGAGAGAATTAGGTGGTATAACTAAAATAACACAGATAACAGATTCATATTAGGACTGAAGGCTAGCTCTACTACTTATTAGGTGAGTGAGCTCAGAAAATTTATTTAAATACTTTGGACAATTCCCTGTTGTGTAAAATAAAAACATTACTACTACTTTGAAACACATGAAATTACAATTTTTGTAAGTCACAATGGTAGGATGTCAGCAATTTCTTATGCTTCAAACTAACACCACTTTTATGGAAATGTTGCTTCCAAGAGTTCTTGTCACATAGTGGGTGGCCAAATGACAGCTTCACTTCTCTTATGTAATGATTTCCAATTAGAAGGAATTCTAGGTGACACTGATTCACACACATGCAAAGTTTTGGCTGTTTGGAAAGAATCATACTTAGTTCTATATTATAGCCAATTTGGGGTTAACATTGGCTTGCAGAACATAATCTTTATACACATATTGTTATTATGACAACTTCATTATGTAATCACATATTTGGGGTTCTCCATTTATATATTTTCATTGAATTATATGAAGGATCATAACATATCACATTTTATCTAAGGCAAACCCCATAGCCAAAGGAACACATTTTTCCATATTTTCTGTACAGGGTCCTAAATTAGTATTACCATCATTATGTCCTAACAATCTGAGTTAACTGGCTAAGAAAGAACCAGTACCTCAAACCCCATCTATGTCAGTCTGCATGGAGAGAACCAATTTCTAAAGGGTGCGGAAGGTAGTTACTCACTGTTAGAGCTAGCAGTTTCCCGTAGGTGAGATGGGCAGGGATGTGGTCAGTCTTGGATCTCAATGACTCCATATACCAATGCTCTGCTTCGGGGAGTTTGCTTAATCGCATGTACGCTTCACCTGGAAAGTGAACCACAAAGCTCAATCGGAGGACACAGGTTTCCAACAGCATTTGCAACAGTATCACATCATCATGTTTATATCCCATGAAATTTCAGACGTTGTGGCAAATAGTTTCATCCATTATCTCATTTGATTCCCCAAAAGTCGTCATCATTTCCATTTTACCGGTGAGGAAACTTGTGTTTGGAGAAATTAAGTGAAATGGCTACAGTTAAAAATTTAGTAAGTGGTAAAGCTCTGATTTTTAATCTAGGCACATCTGATTCCCAAACATAAGCCCTTTGTCACTATTTCTTTTTCTTTTTTTTTTTAAGATAAGTTTCTTCTTTCTTACGTACAATCATTGGTCCTTTTTATTCACATTCATTAATTCCTTTAGAAATTCAAGTATTTATAGAATAACTACTAAGTAGAGAGCATTATGCAGGACCCAGACGAAAGAAGTTTAAGGTCCTACCCTCCAAGGTTTACAACCTTGTTGAGAAAGTAAGATTAATTAAAGGAGTTAAAAATATTTTGGATTAAGCATTGTGCTAGATTTGTTTTTTCAGAAAGAATTTGCATTTTATATTTTAGTAAGTAAATAAAATTTACCAGTTTCATTTTGAAAATCCAGTGAATACATGTCAATTATTTAGCATGCCCAGCATCACGTAAAAAGCTAGTCTGAGGCCTTTCAGTCATCAGTGATTACTTTCAAGCTACACAAATTTTAACTACCAAATAGCATTTCTCTAACAGCCAAGCAAGAGGAAAAAAATTGGAAATAAAGCCAAAAGTATATCAGTTGCCTGCTGATTATCATCCCCCTTTCCCTTACATGCTTATAGTATGGAAGAATATTCACCTGATGGGAAAATTATATTTTAAGATGACTTGTGTACTTAAATTAAATATTGTAGGTTTAATAAGCAATGCAAATGTAGAAGCTACTCAATTTCTGAGACCAGACAACAGACTGGTAACCTGTATTATTTTTCAAGTGGACCTTTATGGCTGAACTAATCATCATTATGATAGCTTTTTCCATTTAGAGACATCACCAGGTTTTCCTAAATGTATAACCCACACTGGTTGTACATCCTTGCTTCAAAAGAAGAGCTAGCTTCCTTTTATTTTAATCATATTCTCCTTGTATTAGCACAGCATTGTCAAAACAAATGTTTGATGAATCGAAGTGATTTGAGTCTCCTAACCTTTTGAGTGCCCTTTGCTCACTCAGTTAGGAAAAAATATTGGTGACAAATAACATGTAATATGCACAAAAATGTATGTATCCACTCACACACATCTATGTCTTCCTAGTTCTGAGAACAATCTTTAAACCATACTATCATAAAAATGATAGCTGGAAATTATTTTTTTTCCTAAAGCTTAAAATGTATTGAATTTAAGAAGAATTCATTCAGATTAAATTACATGTTCAGGGTAAGACGTAAGAAATTCTGGAGCAAAGACCAAAGACTGGAATGGAATACAAAAAATGCACAGAGTTGTTAGAATGGTAAGACTAGGCATAGATTTTTTTTAATATTCATAAGTTTCTATAATAACTGCATTGTTTTTATTATAATATCTCTGTAAAAACTGAAACACTGTCAGATGATTTTTTTTTCTTTTTTTTTTTGCTTTGTTGAACTAACAAATGTTTCCAAATAAAGTAAATAGTAATTTTTTGGGGGGAAAGTGAATCACTTCATACTAAAATAAAACTAGACATGATTGATATAACAGAAAAAATGCACAATCACTAAAGTATTGAAAATTTTAAACCAATCCATGATAAATTGTATCCAAATATTTTCTCTAAAATGGATTCTAAAGCCAATAGAAAACACATACTAACTTCAGAATTAGAGATGAAAGATAGGCCTGCATTACGAGTTCTGTTTCGAATCAACCTAAAATTCTTTTTTGGGGTCTTCAAGTGCTTATAGATAAGTTTTCAGAAGTCGTACAATCATTGCATTTAATATAGCTTCTACTTTTCATTTATAAAAAAATTCAACTAAGGGGCTGGCCTGGTGGCGCAAGTGCTTAAGTGCGCGTGCTCCGCTGCGGCGGCCCGGGATCCACCGTTTTGGATCCCGGGCATGCACCGATGCACCGCTTGTTAAGCCATGCTGTGGCAGCGTCCCATATAAAGTAGAGGAAGATGGGCACGGATGTTAGCCCAGGGCCAGTCTTCCTCAGCAAAAAAGAGGAGGATTGGCAGATGTTAGCTCAGGGCTGGTCCTCCTCACACACACACAAAAAATTCAACTAATTTGTAGGATAATAACAGTAGGTTTTCTGTACAGAACAGAGTGTGAGAGAATCCCAATTCCAGAGTGCTCTGGAGACTCAAATCTTCATTATGTTTAAGTTGTTGATGTCTGAAAATCATTTCAGGAAGTGTACTACTTTTTTCTGCCAGAAATCTATCATTATTAAAAGTTATTTTGAAATGAAATGTTGTTAATTTGCTAAATAATTAGTGGCTGGCCCATTTTCTTCTGTAAGAATTCATAAGCAACTTATTAATTTGTAAAGCTTGTGAGACGGGAAAATATCAAAGGGCTATAAATAAGAAATATAATGGAATAATGCATCTTGACAAGTATATGAAAAATGATAAATAACCAGCTTACTTGGGAACTATTCGTTACAACTTAGAAAAACTTCATGTAACCATTCATTGTATATAACAATAATGGCAATGACAATCATTCATTGAAAGTTTATAATTAATTAGGGCAGCAAGCTACCGGGAGCAAATGTCTGATTTATGAGCGCCCGCTCCTCTCATTCTATACCTTTGGGCATGTAGAATGTTTTCTCATTTAGCCCACAAGGAGCCTAACACATTCCCCCATTCAACCACTACCAACTAACTGTGCAGAGTAGGTTTGCAAGATGAACCATATTTTCAATCTCCATATGACTTGCTTTGTATATGTACCTCATTTTTTATTAGGAAATGTCATTACCTGGATTTTACACATGAGGAAATTTAGAAGCAGAGTGGCTAAATAAAACACACAAAGTCATAAATGTAGAAAGTGGTAAAGCTGCAATTCAAACCCGGGACGACCTGACCTCAACGCACATTGCTTTAACAGTTGGCAGAGACTAATCGCAAACTTGCCAACTTGCCAGCTCAGGTGAAAATGATACTCTCTTTCTCACTCCTGGAAAATTGTTTTCTAGCTGTAATACATTGGCCATCAAGTTCATTTCACCTTGCCTTAGGCTTATCTATTGAATTAAAAGAATAAGAAAGAGCAATAATAATCCATGGTTGACCTTTAAAAATGCTTCTGCTGCATACGTTACTAAATTATTAAGAGGGGAATATGTAGCATATAAGATGTACTTTAGTTCTAAGGTTAACCTTAACACAAAAACAATGTATAAAAGCAGTAATAAAATCAAGATGCAAAACCGAAAACGCAAGAAAATGATCATGGATGAATTGAAATGTGTTTAAAAGATAACTCAATAAAGATTTTGGCAATAAACAATACGAGAACAAGTACTTGCTACATCCCTGGCACTGACAAGGCAGGAGCTTCATAATTCTCATTTCTAACTCATAGTAGGGGTCAGAATACTCATGTTATGGATGAGGAGGAAGGCTCAGGAATGATAAGTGACTTGCACGCAAACAGTTAATAATCCTATCCTAGAAGTTTGAATGGCTCTAAAGCCCATGTCTTTTTCCATTGCATCAGACTGCCTAAAGTTTCTTATTTACTAAATACCTACTAAAGTCTTAAATATATTATCTTTACACTTCTACATTATTCCTACACTGTAATCAGTATCAGTCTCATTTTACAAATGAAGTGACTGTGGCTCTCTGAGCCTAACCAACTTGCTCAATGTTCTAAAACAAGCAAATGCCAGACTCAAGATTCAGATTAGAGTTCTCTCTAGCTCAAACTGTACCACATTGATATAAAAAATAATCAGAGAGGGGACACAATAACTGCAAAGAGTGACGTTGGTGGATTCAGTTTTTGGGTACATATATGTAATCCTTCAAGCTTGATTAAAATATTAAAATCATAAAAATTTCATGAAGGAAACGACCACAGGAAAAGAAAGTTCAGTGTGTTCAATAAGGAAGGAAATGAAGATCTTTGGTTGGCAATGGGGTGGAGGGAGGAGGGTTAAGTTAAGTCATCTTCTCTGGTACTGTAATTCTTCTTAACTTATAATAATAGGAAAAAATGTTTATAGTACCCAGGAGGAAAGAAGCAATGATGACAATTTTTCCTTCTCATCCTGCAAAAAATGACATAATAGAGGCACTTTCATAAGAATGAGAAGATTTGCTGTGCAATGATGTAGCGATCAGGTTCATCACCCAGATTTATTTCCGACTCACTCGCAGACAAAAGGGATTTAGATGTCTCCAGGCTGATTTCAGGCACATAGAAACCAGTTTCAGATGCAGAACAAATAATGTCACTCTTCCTCCTTAAAAAGCCCCAGGTCTAAATAACCCAGGCAAAGGCTAACTCCTTAAAGGAAAGAGTGCTGTATTATTGATGATGTAACAGTCCAGATTGCACTGACTCTCATGTTTCAAGTTACCAGCAACTCCAGCTTGCAGTTAAAGAACAGAGCACGTAGTGGGACACGCTACCTATATTTGCCAGTGTTACCTTTCGTTTCTGCTGACCTTGCTCAAGATAGTATATTTCTACATTAAGATTCAGTTTAGATTCCCTATGTTTTTCTTTCAGTTTTATTGAGATATAACGGGCATACACCACTGTATGAGTTTAAGGTGTACAGCATAATGACTTGACTTACATATATGTATTGTGAAATGATTACCTCATTAAGTTTAGTTAACATCCAATCATCTCATATAAATACAAAAAAACATGTGTTTTTCCCTTGTGATGAGAACTTTTAAGATCTACTCTCCTAGCAACTTTCAAATATACCATACAGCAGTGTTGACTAGAGTCATTATGCTCTACATTACATCCCCAGTACTTATT